TCCCACTTTTTCACTATCACGAGCCACATTAGACCCGTCTTTAGCCTTAGAAACAGATGAAACATAATTATCGTGCATTCCCAAGATGTGTATCTCTAGATCTAAAGACTTCAAATTAGAAATGCCGCTTCTATCATTGGACATCATCTCACTGTCATGAGAAGCTTTGTTTAGCATGCACAACCCAGTGTCGCCCTCCTTTATGGAAGATGTACAACCACTTGTGACATTATCTACTTCTGATTCTTTATGTCTCACCTTTTCAGCATCCACTTTATTCTCCATGGAGACCATGACAAAATTTACTTGAGATTTCTCAAGTTTCTTCTTTTCAATTTCAATTTCTACCTCAGCTTGGCACTCATCACACAACCACCCGCGCTCTGGAACCTCTTGAAGCATTACCAACATACAGTAACTGTAGAGAGAAAAAAATAGATAAGACACTATGGAGAAGTAAACAAGTATTATGGCACACCATACAATAATCTTAACTGGCTAGGATTACAGAAAAGAGAATAGTATAAAGAATTCTCACATATGCACAGCACCATCATTGCATCTGCTGCAAACAGCGAGCTTCTTCTCCTCACCAACATTTCCACATACGTCACAGACTTTCACCTATAATTTTCTATTAGATTCCATGATTCAGGTGACTTAAAACCCACAGTATTAACCAATTAGACCGAGGAAAAACATCCTTTCACATTTTAATTGTAACCAATGGTGTTGACGCAAGAAAATGATACGACAGAAATTCAGTGTTTCGGACTTACATCTACAGTATCTTCAGAACTTGTCTCCTCATAGGAGGCAATATCGTCTTCTGACACAAGCTGGTTATCAAATAATTTCCAACAAATTACATTTGGAATACGAAATCAAAGACAGACATATAATATGTCATTTGTATTGGCATGCAAATACATCACTTCCCAACACAATTTGAAAAGAATTCAATCATAACAAAAAAAGACAAGTAACAAGACAATATTGGGCATATGTGCTTGGAGAGCATATGTGATCTTTATAAGCAAACTATGGAAAAGAAAAGAACTCACGTCAATGACTTCATCCATCTGCATGTCCCTGGTTCACGTTTAACAAGAAGATTCTGACTCACATATGTGCTTTCCTCCTTGAGAGGGGAATTGCCCTATTAAAGGAAAACATAACATCAATAACTATTCTTAAATCTAAGTTCCGAACTGCCAATAATCATAGTTACTTCTGAAAATCCAAAATTGCTGCCCCAGGGGGGAGGGGGGATGTATAACCTATATACCATGATGAAACAATCAAACAATACACGCACAACATTATCAAAATACTTCATGAAACAAATTAACATAGTTGAAACCAATATCAATGCTAACTATACTACTCCCTCAGTAAACAAATGTAGGATGTTTTTGCAGTTGAGTACCATATAGTGCACCAGTATTGAAATGTTGAATCTTAGGATCGAGACACAAAATCAACTGTTGATCATTGTCGATCAAATGGTCTAGGTTGCATGGATTCCCGTCTACAGTGTCCCAATTGAACAGTGCTCTCTACAATATTCTGGAATTATCCTCATCTATACTTAAGAAAAATCATCAACCAGCGAGCGCATCATCCGATCATCCCTTGACGATCCCCACAGCGAGCTCGGCGGCTCCTTGCCACCCTCACCAAACCCCATCATCATAGACCCTGCTTCCTAAGGCACGGCTCTCAACTAACTCACCTTCAGATGTACGACATGGGTGTCCCAGGACCAAATCAATCACCAAAAATAAACATAGAGTTTGCAGGAAACAACAAAGAGTATACTGCACAGAACAAGGATAGCAATTGCAAAAAAGGAAAGACAGGAAGGTAGATAGATACTCCCTCCGTTCCTAAATATAAGTCTTTTTAGACATTTCAAATGGACTACAATATACGGATGTATGTAGACATATTTTAGAGTGTAGATTCACTCATTTTGCTTTGTATGTAGTTACTTGTTGAAATCTCTAGAAAGACTTATATTTAGAAACGGAGGGAGTAGATCTGAGAATACAGGGGAAAGAGATGTTTCAGAGCTTGATGCAGAGGGGTATTGGCCATGCTGTTAGAATTTTGGGATTTATGGATGTCAACATTGTTGACATTTCCATATGTTTTCCTATATAACTTTTGGTGTTTCAAGCGAGTGCATTTGGACTTTGGACTAGAAGGTGCTTTGCATGTACAGGCATATACTAGTATAAGAAAGCAATCAAATATAAGCTATAACATATTTTACGGACAATAGATATCAACATGAAACAATGGAATAGAATTCCATGCCTCAATTGAATCATAGAAAACCCATGGTAGCTATATCAGCATACCAGATTTAAGGCAAAACCCCTAAGGAAGACGTGGTGAGCAAAATGTCCTACATCTTATTGCAAAAAACAAAAATAGAGATAAGAAAAAAATTCTGAGCACGTAATTAAATGCTCATAGAGTAATTATTAGGCCACAACAGTGTGGAACAAAAAAAGAATGCTAACTCCAAAAAAGATAGGATAATACCTACATGATGTTAAGTGCAACTGTGGAAGTTACTCCCTCCGTTCCGAATTACTTGTCTTGGATTTGTCTAGATATGGATGTATCTAGACTCATTTTAGTGCTAGATACCTCCGTATCTAGACAACTCTAAGACAAGTAATTCGGAACGGAGGGAGTAGAAATTTAGAATGGATAAATGAAATATGCACTGGGTGATTTTCACCATGAGTATGTACAACAGTGCACTATTGACCTTGATAACAGGAGTTATAAGAAATGTGCCATCATTGGCTATGTGCTATGATCCCACAGACCACGACCAGGTATAGGAAAAAAAGCTTAGGAATAGGGACATATCTCTAGAGAGTTGTGAGTGCTCATAGGAAAAGATTGCACTAAGAGGGAAGGACATCAATTATTATTTCTTCAACCTTAAGCAATGCCATTTCTTCTTTAAATAGGGGAAGACCCCAAGAACTCAACCCAAGAGAGAACATATTATCTAAGGGAGAAACTACTAGATAACAAAAAATGTTTCCTCACAAACAAAACCTCATTCATATCTCATGTGCATTCACTGCCACCGGGACATGCTGCAACACAGTGCTGAGGAAACTTTCCCGAGCCCCATGCCCTGACACCTTGACAAAAGCACATAATTGGACCTTACTTATCAATATTTACACATAATGCACAAGTGCCAAACACCATGAATATACACACAACATACATAATAAATAGTGTACAGAAAGCAAATCTTACAATAATCATTGACCTACTTGCTTAGTGAGACGCATGGGGAATTGCCAGAAGCAGATACGGATTCTATGGTAGATGGATAAGGAACCTACATATAATATCCATAATGAGGATATGCAGGGGCGTAATCTAATTATCAAACGCAGCCTCCACACTCGATATTGAACTTCTTGAATCATTTGTCTATACCCTAGGTTATTCTGCACATGGCTTCCAGTGGCCATAGGTGTTTCCGTGAACAACTGACGAAGATGAACTCCATAGCAAAACTGACTGGGTCGGTTGCCAGCAAACACCATATAGTCAGCCAAAGACCCAACTTTGACATCTAGAACATCAAAACAGCTATAGCCTATAGGTGAAAGAAAGCACATAATAATCACAAGAACAATTAATTGGCGTGAAGCCGACCCAAAATCTAGCGAACCAACTTCCCCAAGCTGGATGGCGGTAATCGACGCTCCAAGGAAACATCAAATTAACCAATCCCCAATGCACTGTTTCGTGAATTCACAAGTGGAATCCCAAATTGGTTTTCCTTAGCATCTAGGGTTTGCTCAATGCACATGGTAACAACAAGATCCGCAAGAAACCGTTCGATTAGATTGGAAAACGCGTTTTGTAGATCAAAGAGCGGCGTTCACCTGTCGGCCGCGGTGACCTTGCTGCGGCGTGTCCCCAGCTGTGTCCAGTGGCGGCCGGGGGCGCACACGGCAGGGAGATGCACGGCTGGCGGCGGCAGCAAGCTGCAGGGGGCGCTGCAGCGGCCAGCGGTAACCTCGCCAGCTAATGAACTCGACGGAGACGGCGCTTCCCGTCCGCCCCGCGGCTACAGCGCGCCCGCGCGACACTTGGCTCGGAAGCGACGGTGGTGGCGGCGGACCGGAGGCGCGGGCGGTGGCCCTTCAGCCCGTCCCCGTCCCCCTCTCTCGCGAAGGAAGAGTATAGGATGCGGTAGAAAGGCAGCGCGCAAGAGGAAAGGCGGAAGGAAAGGAAACAAGGCAAAAAGTTTCATCAATATACTACGGTGTTTATACGTGAGATATACTATACGAGAAAAAGAAATGCATGCAAAATATGGGCTTATTTTTTGTGGTTTTGGGCCCGAATTTTTTCTTTTTGTGCAGCGTATAATATCTCGTAGTACTAAGAGAAAATCTATTTGTCTCAAAAAAAACTAAGATAAAATCTATACATGTCCATGTAAAAAAAAGTCAGCTTTTTTTGAAACTTTTAACTATCATCTTGTAGCCTCAAAAAAAACTAAGATAAAATCTATACATGTCCATGTAAAAAAAGTCAACTTTTTTTGAAACTTTTAACTATCTTGTAGCCTTTCAAAATAAAGTGATCCAATGCACCCATGCGAAAGGATACGTACTTATTTGTTTGGTCCTTTTTGGAATGCAAGGTGGGATAAATGCAGGAACTGAATGTTATTTCTTTGACGTTTTTTTATAGCGTTTTGAACGTGAAATAGCAGGTCGTGATTGTGTGCATACTCCATAAATTTTGCAAGAATTTATTTTTAAGGAGATAGAAGAGGAAAGATAAACACAAGTGTCGAACTTCTTAAAGGCAGTGAAAGCATGAGGTTTGAGCGGAATACTCCAAAAAGGTGAAGGAAAGAAAGTATTCATATAGGATTTTTCAAACATTTAGAATACTCGCAGATATCTTCTTTTATTTAGGGTAGTGGGATTACTTTAGTTGGGGATGTCGGGGTATGCCGGGTACTATTGACTTGATCCTCGCAAGAACTCACCCAAGCGGCGCTATCTGAGGCGGCTCACCGAAAGGTTGCCGCAACTGAGGCCGTCAAGGCGGCCTTCACTTCTCTTCCCACCATAAAAGGGGCTTCTGCGTTGGTGGAAGGCGACCAAGGGGGTCCCAGCGCACCCAAGGCTATCTTTGAATTCAAGCCAGAGTTGCTCGGCACCAAGGGGGTGCATATTAGAAGAAGAAAAATCCTTCAATGAAGACTTTTTTCTAGAATATTCGGGGATTTGGCCATACAGGGCGCCGAACCCAACTGAAGCTTATATTGTTAGCGAGAACATATATTGCATTGCTCTCCAAAAGCATCGAGATTGATTTTTCTTTCTTTGAGTTCAGAACCATTGATCCTCTTGAAAAAAATGACTGGCAATGGGTGTTGGCTAATGGCCATTCAGGAGGCCTTCTACTAGGCATCAGCAGATAGTCCTGTAAGGTGTCGTGCTGGATCTTGGGAAGTTTCTTTCTTAGTTCTTCCATCAAGACAATTGCCACACATAAATCTTGGGAGTCTTTCGAGTCATCCACTCACTTTCTATAGCCTTTTTGGTGGAAATCAAAACCAAGATTAATAGCTCAAACTTCTCAGTGATAGTGGGCGAGAATTTTAACCTCATTAAGGAGGCAGCAGATAAGAATTTGAACAACATCTACTAGTAACACACCAACGGGTTCAATGCGGCCATTGCTAACTTGGCCCTCGGAGAAATCCATCATGCGGCGTGGGGATTACTTGGACAAACATGCAACTTGCCCCAATTCATTTGGTCATGGACGGAATTTCTGTCTATGCCAACTGGGAAGTCGATTACCCTCTCTCTTCAAGAAGGAAACAATGTTAAGCGTCAATATCATCAAATTCAACCACCAGATCCTGGATTCTAGGTTTTCACCCTAAAGAGCATCCCTAAGCATATTCGAGCAATATCTTTAACATGATAATGATGCAAAAGCATCGCCATTATCAGGTATAACCAACTTGGGTCAGGCCTAGGGTTTTCACCCCATAGCTACAGACTAG